CCTCGATTGGCGGCTGGTCTGGAGGCTGAGGTTGTTCCTGGCACCATTTGCAATCCCTGTCCAAGGTGAAGTCCAGTGACTTGGAATGAAACTCTCTCTCTTATACAGTGTAACAAACAGCCAGGCGCAGAAAAACACATTTGTGCTGGCTTCAGCATGTACAGGAATATAAATAAGACTCATTCAACATCACACAGCTGTCGAATATCAGAATTTTAGCCCTTCAGCCCATCCAATACAATCCACCCCTGATCATATTTGACAGTCCATGTTATAATTGCAGATAAAAATGCAAATCAGCAATAGCCATGCAAGAATGTATAATAAGAGAATATATCCTATACCAGAAGATTAAAACTACAATGAAAATAAGTATCATCAATACGAACAATACAACAACCAGATTCAGGTTCCTTAATTTCTGTTTTTCTTATTTGCCAGTTCCCTATCCACAGATCACTTCACCCAATAACCATAAAATAACATCATACACGGACTCAAAATTTCTTCAGCTGTCTAGATCCATATCCTTCTTGAGGATACTTCTTCACTATGTTTCCCTCCTTGCCAATTTTATGAATGATTGTATCATTGAGTGGTAACTATCTCCAAATGTAGGGACCCCCTTTTGAGTTACAATGTACATGGTATTAAACAGTACAGCTGCAATGTTCATCAGGCTTTACGTTCAACTTATGCTTCCTGCCATTTATTTTTCCCAGGGTTCCCTTACCATAGACTCCTACACCACCTGGGTCTTAGCTCAGCCTTTTTTCACATACACTAACTGTCAGAGCATATTACAATTTCACCTAATCATACAGACGCTCAGGATGGGATATGCGTGGGTCATCCGTTGGGCCCTTTCACTCAGGCCACCATTACTCCTCCCAGAACCCATATTCTTTCATTTCTGTAACATTTTGACATGGTAACCAATCACACTTTTTATTTTGATTGTAATTCTTCGTAAATCCCTTTCACTAATACCACTTTCATTGTTTTAAAGTCAGTTTCTCTATGGATTTTGTGTCAGTGTTTTATCTTTTAAACTATGTTTTTCTGCTCTTCCAAGCCACACTAATCCTTTTGACATGTAGGTGTCTGAGACCCGTTCTTCAGTGCATGTTTTTTGCCGTCTCATGTTTGTTACCTACGAGGTAACATTCACTTTTGTACACTTATATCGGTATCCCAAAACTATGTCACACATTCTTGACTCCCACACGATCCTATCAAACAATCTATGAGGCTTTACTTATCTCTCCACATATCGTCCTAGTGCTTTGAGCAGTGGCTTGATCATGAAATCAGTTTTCTTAAAAGGAAAGACATGGACACAATCATCACCAAGAGAAAGCTATCAGTTTTGTGCTCTCATCTAAACCTCCTTTTCACTACTGCAGCATTTTAACCTCAATTGCCACTTCCACCCATTCTAAATTTTTTGTCTTCTGTCACCAGTCTCCACTCTTAATTATTTTGTCTCATCCAATTTTGAACTTAACTATTGCTACCATATCTAATTCCAGAGAGCTGTGGAGATTTGTACTTCATGAAACATAATCTTATAATATTTTAAAACAGAGGTAAAACATTTCTGTTTGATTCAGGCACAACATACTTTGTTTGTTCTTTCTCTAACATCACCCATTTTTTTAAGCTACTTGATGAACCATTCTAGATATTTGATATATCTCTATGTAAATTTGTCCAAATTCAATATTCTGTTTATTCCCTAAAAGTCACTAATCATTTTTGTATGCATTGAAACCATTGAGACTGTGTGCATGCACATTATCATGTCCCAGAATCCCTTTAAATTTTCAAGTAACTATTCCATTTGAATGTTTTAGAATGCCAGGACATGTGAGTCTTAATATAGTCTTTCTCATGATGTGCTTAAGTGTACTCAGCCTCCATAGTTTTGAGATTCCTGACACTCACTACAATTAATATTTCCACAATATTTCCCCAACAGTGAAATGTGTTATTGATGAATGGCTTGATGTGTTGAGGGTGCCTCATCCATCACTGTGTTGCGATGTTGAAATTCTGCAAATGGGTTCAGCATTCAGTATCTCCAATTTCTAAAAAGCAACAAGCTTCACCCATTACATGTCAAGCAGAATGGATTAATTAGTATTAATCAACTACAGATTCAAAAAAGAGGGTGGGGCATAAACTCCTGCATGTAATTATGTCATCTGTCTATCCTCCTCATTGAAGGAAGGAAAAGCCCACCCCTTCGTTAAATTTGCCTTTTGTAAACTCCCCACACACAGGGAGTTGCATTTTTAACATTCCAATGTCTCTACCACTTGGATATTAATAATGAGTCAATCTTATCATCCAGAATTAAAGATTCACTCATGTTAAAACAGTATTTGAAAGTTCACTCTGGCCAGAAAATGAAATTCTAAACATGGTAAATTCTTGAATTAAAATTTACCCAAGTTCAAACAAAACATGAGCCAATTCCAAAAGGCAAATTTTTACCAAGCTTAACAAACCAAATTTTTGAATCAATATTTCGCAGATTTTTGCTTTACACAATGACTGATGGTTTCTTAGAAGGACATTAACCCACACCGATACAGGCATGCAACATACTTTCCAATCACCATATATTCCCAAAATGCAAACTAAAACTTCAAAGTATCCCCATTTCTTGAGCTCCAGGGAACAAAAAAACAGGACAACATTTAGCTCCTAACAAACAAAGTTGCATTCAAACCAGACCACAAAGAGTTAACACATTTACAAGATTCAGTGCACTTGCACAATGTAGAAACCTGGTCTCCAGTTCTCTTTTTCCGATTGTTACTGACCCCCATCCTTTCAGGGGTCCTAATTGTGCTAACATATTAGCTACAGACCTGAATCCCGAGTCTGCCGCATTCCATCCTGGAATACGGAAGGTCTCCGGAGCATTAGGTTGCTTTTCTCTTCTCTTACACATTTTCCCATATCCCTTCCTCATCGCCAAAAATGTTTTGGATCACAGAGCGTATCCAAGCAGTTCTTTTCAGATTCAGGTAAATATAGTTAAGAGAAGGCTTGACAAGAGCAATTTGTTTAAATACCAACATTTATTGAGTTATAATAAAAGACGAAAAAAGAAAGGAACACATTAAGTAAATAAAAAGTGAAAAAGAGGAAAGAAACAATAAGCCTCACACCCTTCTGCACATCAGGGACCCGTGAATCAACATCTGGTCTGGAGGCTGAGGTTGTTCCTAGCACCGTTCACGATCCCAGTCTGAGGTGAAGTCCAGTGACTTGGAATGCAACTCTCTCTCTCTTATACAAAGTAACAAACAGCCAACACAGGAAGCAGCAGATACAAAAGACAAAACTGCTGGTTGCTACAGAAAACACAACTACAGAGAAACAAGCTGCAGGTGTCGTCTTCGGCCAGAAAAGGAAGATTCACAGGACATGCAGCTTGTTGAGTATCATCATTAACTTTCCCAGCCTATTTTCCCATTCTGTACAATCTATTTTCTCATGCAGCTGTCAAATATCATCATTACCTTTTAGCCCTTCGGCCCATCCTGTACAGGAGTCCAGTCCAAGTTGACAAAGAACAACTGTAGAACTAGTGCTGTGCACAGGCTTAGATTCATTTCTCTGTTGTGCAGCAAGCTCAAAGGGACCAGCAACAAGTCTTTGTGTGGACTGTCACCTACTTCTCTGGCCTCTCTGTGAGGATACAGGAACGCTCTTTGGCAAATATAGGAACTTACTGAAACATTTTCATAAACAGTAGTAAGTCCAAATACTCTGCAACGATAGAACTTAAACATTATCCTATGTGTATGTTGGTTGCCTGGCCCTTTAAATAATGCTAGTGCAGAATGGATCTCGTAGCTTAGCATTTGTTGTTTGCAGAGTGACAAATAAGTATTTTGTTTGGACCAGCATGCATCAAAATTGATTCATTCACCGGTTGCCATGGATAACCAAAATTGTACTCCTTCATTGATCCCAGGCACTTTCAGTGGGGCTATGAATACTAATATACTCTTAATGCCTTCAGCTCAACCACTTTGTTCAATAGACTCCTCATTTTGCAAGTTATACTATTCATAACTGAGCAACTGGTTCGTTGTCTATTTTATAGCCTTTGTTTCCTCTGCTAATCATATGTGCTTGCTAATTTTCTGCTTTCTTTTTCAAACATTAATTCTCTCTCTTCTATCACCAACTGCCCATCCCCTATGTCAAACTAAATTAAACTCTTCCCAACAACACAAGGAAAGTTAAACTTAATATTATTTGAAGGGAGAAAGATCAAAGAGATAGAATCTCATTTTTCAAAGAGATGGGTCAAATGAGTTTAACAGCTCAATGATCATTGAAATATTTTATCTGTATTCATCTTATAGAGTCGTAGAGTCAATAAAAAGCTAGTCGAATAACAGTGAGGGATTATCTAAACCCCATCTCAAAGCATCACGACATTGGATTAACTTGAAACAAGTAATTATATCTTCCTATCATTCTTTGAAGAAACGGAACAGGCTGAAACTTTTTTTCTCTCCGTCAACAATTGTTAAAGCTTGTGATTGGCTGTTTAAATCACTGACATAAGACATCAACTTATCCAGTGAATTAGTCTTGAAGTTTAGTATGCAGTACATTATCAACTGAAGTGGTATCTTCTGATGTGTATGTGTTTAACGACGAAATTTCAAAAAAAAACTAGGAGACCACTGCGAGTAGGCAGTTCCAAAGCTTTGGAGATCATTCCAGGTAAAATTGTGGAAGTTGCATTAAACACTTGGATAAAATTAACAAAACCAATTACTAAAGGGCACTGTAATAAAAAGTAAAGCTTTAAAAGGGAACTTGACAAATTTAAATTAAAATACCATTTTGTATGGTGGAAAGAACTCCAGAAGGCAGACAATTTTATGTACTAATCCACTGGATTTTAAAATATCTTTAAATATGATTTATGAAATAATTTCCTTTTTGTTCTAGGGAAGAACAATTTTAGCTGCAGGTGTTGATCTGATCGAATAATTGTTGGATCTTGGCACTGTTGAACTTTATCCTGAGCCCACTATGGCAGAGAATCATGTCTTTCATGCATGGGATTATGTTGTTTTCGCCTCTATGCTGTTAGTGTCCACTGCAATTGGACTGTTTTATGCTTTTAAACGTGGCGGAGCAGGGCAGAGAACAACAGAAGATTTCCTGGTGGGCAACCGGTAAGCAGAGTTTAAAAATTAGTGCATTTTTTATTTAAAAATTAGAGACAGTGAATAAACCTATTGAACTGGGCACTTATAGAAAAATAACAAAGAACGCAACTTTGTGTCACTTTAATGACTGCATCATTCTGTTTTGTTTGAAACAGACAAATATCTGCCTATCCAATTGCCTTCTCATTGGCTGCCAGCTTCATGTCTGCTGTTGCATGTAGGTATTTTTGGTTTCCTTATCAGAAATCATGTAATGCTACAGAAACAAAATATTTGTCTACCATTGTGATTTAATTTTAAAAAAACTTAATAGGCCAGGTTAACAACTCCAATCAGGGAACTCATATTCTGTGAGGTCCACCTGGCTGACTTTGTTATGATCATTACTCTGTCTACCATATATTTCTATCCAAAGTTAGGACCACAGGAAGAAAAGAAAGAGGCCATTCAGTCCATAATATCTGTGCTGTCTGAATAAATTAGCTGCCCAATCTAACCTTGCTTTCCATCAATGGAATGTTGCTAAACTTCAATAAATGAACAGTCCTAGTCTCTTTTTTAAGGATGCTGTCAAACAAGCCAGAACTAGCTGTGTGAGACATGTGAGCTAGAATACACTGCAGAGCCGAGCCCTACTCTTCCACCACTTACCTACATCCGGTTAATGTAAGGTAAAGTACACTATCAAGTACACTAACAATTTAAAGACTCTCATAGAGATTCTCCTGAAAAGCAGTAATGACCATTTCAGCTTAAACTTTGCAGGCATTTTGGTCGTATCAGTGGTAGTAAAGAAACAAATGAGAAATTTTCCAAGAACCATGGTTAAAATTTATAAGGCTGTATATTGTTATGAGAACACATTGCACTTGGTGTAATTTTAATTATACATATAGCAATCCTCTGCCAATACAAGGTGCACATTGCAAAATGTGTCCAAGGTCTAAGTATGATTGCAATACATAATGGAAAAAATTAGAAATTTTAAGATCATAAGTAAAGTGGTAGACTTGCTGTTATACATATTGACCCTAATCAAAATGAAACAAACAATTCCCATGATATTTATTTTGCAAGGCTGAGGCAAATTTACTTCCCAATCATCACTTTAATATGATGAATTGGCTGCATATTTGATTATAAGGAAAATCACAAAGTCTGCCCAAGAATTGATTGGCACAAATTTCCACATTTATTGCTTTTTTGATTTGGAAGGACACTGGTAGATCTCTTGGTTACTACAATGGGTTAAAGACTGCTCTCTACATTGCAGCCTCTTGCTTAGAAACTGCAATGTACAAAGTCAGGGTTAAAACGGAGCAACTTGTCCCCATATCTTGCAATTATGTTTCAAGGTTGAAATCAACTTTCGATTAGGCACTGCACAGCTCTGTGGACTCCAACACTTTAGTTAAACAAAATTCAGGTAATATCCACCACCCCATTTCTGAGAACAGCAGCTGTTGACAATGATCATTCTCTTGTGGTTTGTTGTTTCAGCCATGAACAGCCCAACAAGTAACTTCTAGTATCAAAACATTGTTGATGTTACACTGTTGGGAAGAAAATCTCTGAAGGTCCAGAAGTTTTTTCACTGAACAAAGGAAACATGCTTTTTTTTAATAGATTTGTTTTAGCCAACCTTTGGCAATTACAAACCAATCAGATTATTAATTGATGACATACACATTCAATCAAGTTAATCATGTGATTGTATGGCCAGTGACAGACAATCTTAAGTCTTCCCATGATCTCATGATACTTACAAGACATCTATATCACCTGCTCTTGGGCTTTCACAATGCATCTTATTCATCCACATTCCAACACTGCTGACTTCAGTACCTGTTAAACACTCCTCCCTGCTAGAAGTGTGGAGCTAGAGGAACTCAGCAGGTCAGGTAGCATCAGAGGAACAGGAAAGCTGACATTTCTGGTCAAGAGTAGTAGGAACTGCAGATGCTGGAGAATCTGAAATAACAAGGTATAGAGCTGGATGAACACAGCAGGCCAAGCAGCATCTTAGGAGCAGGAAGGCTGACGTTTCGGGCCTAGACCCTTCATCAGA